CCCAAAAAAAAAAAAAAAAAAAAAATATCCAAGAGGCCCCATACATATGGGATGAACAAAAGCAAAACACGAACATCACAAAACCAAATCAGAACAACAGAGGAAAACGAAAAGGTGTAAACAGAGGACGCATGTGACCGTATAGCAACTAAAGTCAACCTGACCTTTCAAAAACCAGAGAGGCGTTATTAAGAGAAAAAAGTGTAGAAGCAAGTACAGCAGTAGAGAAGATTCATGAACCAGTAGCGGATGAAAAAGAACAAGAACAAGAAGATAAGAAAATCACGTTTCCAGTTCGAGAAATAGGCAACCAGAGATGAAATCCAATGCGAAAGGTCAAAACAACAGATTACAGTACAGAGCCGGCGAGGAAGGAAAAAAACAAGAAAGAAAAAGAAAGGTAGAGATAAAATCACTTACAGAAAGGAGAAGGAAAAGGAAATCCCCTGAAGAAGCGTCGAAAGAGAGAAGGACGACGGTGTCTGAGCTGAGAGATTTCACAGATCGTACAGAGTACTGAAAGAGCGTCACGGAGAAAGAGGAAGAAGAAACACTGAATACGGTCAAAGTCTAAACTTGTGAATTGCACGGATCCTGTAATTATATATAGAATTCATTTTCACAAATAAATTCCCTCCAATTAAATCAAAATAATAATAATAAAAAAAAAGAGGCCCCGCTCGTACGTGCGCCACGCGCGCACGCCGTGTATAAGTGTGCAATGTGGAACCTCTAAAAATTAGCTACATTTTTTTTTATAGAAAATTGTTAAATTACAAATTTACCCCTCAATCCATCTTCTTTCCGTACTTGTTGGCACATCCCCTATTGTCTGACTCTAATACCATTTGTAACAATCCAAATTCGCGATTATGACATATTGTTCTCTTTGAATTTTTCCTCAATATTTTTAAAACATGTCTAATAGGTAGAGTTTTCCATACCTTTATAAAAAAAAATATTTCATTCTACTCCCTCACCTGGAATCTTTTAATATTTAATAAAATTTTTATATTTTAATTATGTGTCTAATGTATCTTAAAATATTAAATATTTTAAATGAGTTTATTTATTATATGTGGAAATTGAAATTTATGCATAATTTGAAAATAAAATTTAAGAATTTTGATATATTTTAGATAATATTTTCTCACCAATAAAGGGAAGGCTGGAATCCCATGTTTTGCATTAACACTAATCATATCTACCTTGACCGTTCAACCCTTGGATTCCAGGCCCCACCCGTGAATCTCTATACCAATCATGTGTTTTTCCCATTTTGTTGCCGGTGATCGCTTCCTTCCTTCCCTGATTAAAAGGGCAATAAGGTCTTTTACCGCCATCAATGTCCTAGGAGAAACGTGACCAAGTTACAGGGGAATGTTCTGAATCTTGGGCATGGGGCGTTAGAAACATAGAGTCGTCTAAACATAGATTAATTAATCAAAATTAGACGAGATTATCGTATTAATAATTTACGTTTTTTTGAGATGCATGTAAGTAATGACAAAACATGCTGAAAGAACTCGAGTTGGTTTGTACGGATGGTCTTCACTGTTAAAAAGCGAGGAGAGGGTAATGTGAACATGTCGTAGGAGGATGCTTAAAAGGGTCGAATCCGGATTTTAAATCCTAGACATGGAACGTTAGGAATATAAAGTAATCTAAACATAGATTAATTAACCGAAATTAGACGAGATTATGGTATAAATAATTTAAATTGCTACGAATTAACTTTATAGAAAGCGAAAATTAAATTATAGGAAAAGGGAAATATAAAGAGTGGAGTATGGAGGAAGGAAAGGGGCAGGGGAGGGCAGGGCATAGTGGAGGGGCATTAATTAAAACATAAAGAGATAAGAGATTTTGGAGAGGAGATTCGGGTGTGCCCTAAATGTGTATCAATTTAAGTAGCGAGGAAATATTATAAAATTATAAAGCTAATATTTTTAAATTGTTTATAAGGTTCACGGCTCTTTGTTTGGGGCTAAGGGAACAGTAAGGACACTCGCCAAATGCCCAAACTACCCTTCTGGAGGGCACCAAATCATCTTTCTTTTGTACTCAAATACCCTTCAAAAAGAAAAGGAAAATGACAGCTCGCCTGCCCTTTAACCTCTTTCTCTTCAGTTATTTTCTCATCATTTTGTGCCGTCTTTAAAAGGCGAGATATTTCTAAGTTTACGCCATATATGGTCCGAACATGTGTTTATCGGACTGAATGAACTGATATCACATCTAAACGATAACGATATAATGATTAAACATTGCTTGGAGTAATTTTATTGTAATGACTCAGACCCACCGCTAGCAGATATTGTCTTATTTGGGCCCCTGTTAGGGCAAGGTTTCCACACCCTAAAGGGTGTTTTGTTCGCCTCCCCAACCAATGTAAGACATCACACTTATATTCGGAAACCTCCTACAAAAAGATTTATAAGATGCATGTGAGTGAGTACAAAACATGCTGAAATGATCTGTGTTGGTCTCTAAATATAAATTTTTGTTAGAAGCAACATGACCATATCACAGAAGACGCAAGGGAATGTCGAAACCATAGAGTACCGAATTTTGATTACAAATTCTACCCATAGATCGTTACACAATTAATAAAATTTCCTTTTAATCTCATTTAATCATAAATATATTAAAAATTTAAATAATAATATGAGTAGTTGAGGTGAGCGTAAGTTCATGAACCTTTTAATAGCGTGGTTGGTGATACGTATTCCACGTCAGCTTGAATACGATAAATTTAAATTAATAATAAAAAAATCAATTATTATAATTTTAATTTTAAAATAAGATGGGAATGGAAAATGATTCATATGCGTTACGTTTACAATATTATAATTTTAATTATATAATGCTCCAATTGGATAGATTTGGCTTGACTTTATATTATTTTGTATGGATAGAGTATATACTAATTTTAATATATATCTTTAAATCCCAATGTGAAAAACTATGATTTAAAAAGAATTTAAATACGTATTTATACTTTATTTAAAAAATATTCATAAATTTTCAATACTACTTTTAAATTTAAAAAAAAATATTTATCTTTTCATTAATATATTATAAAAATTAAAAATATCATCCAAATCAATATTAATGCCATTAAATTCTGCAAAAAGAATTATCTTGTTTGTTGATTAATATTTTGAAATATTAGATATAGCTATAAAATTATTTTTTAAAATTTTAAAATAATTTAAAAATACGTTTTTAATTTTTTTAAAAATAGAGTATTAAAATTGGAAGTAATTTTAAAAAGTTATGAAACAAAATATTAACAATTAAGTTTTTTAAAATTTTGAGGATATGATTATTATTTTTATTAATATTTGCAAATCTAAAGAATGAAGAGCGCGTGTGATGCAAACATGGGTGTGGTGGGGGCGCGTGGGATATAAAGCCGTGGAGCCAATTTGGTTGTGGATTCTCCAACAACAACGTTCACGCTTCCGAACCCTTTTCATTTCTTTTTATTTTTATTTTATTTTTTAATTAATAACACCTTCAATCAACACCACCACCACCACCACCCTTCAGCACTAAAAAAAAAAAAAACAAAAAAAAAACAAAAATTAGGGTCCTTTTTATTATTTAAATTTAAAAAAAATCCAATTTACGGAAAAGAAAAAGAAACAAAGATAGGGAATCCATGCCCCCACGTTTGATGACTATGCATTTAACCCAACTAAACTATCAAACATAAATTATAAAATGCCCCATTCTAAAGTTTCCATTTTATGGCCAATTATTATCAAATTTCCCAATCATTTCCCAATTTTACCTACATCATAACCTTTCTTTCAACCACCTATAAAACCTAAAAATGTAATTTCACGTTTTTAAATTTATGTTTTAATGGGAGTAACCTAAATCGTGAAAACAGGGTCGTGAGAGAGTAATACAAGCGTCGTGCTGCTAGATGAAGAAGTGAACTGTTGCACCCTAGATAGCAAGAGTCCAGTAATCGAAAGCACCACTACCTTGCTCTCCGACCCGAATAGTATGGGACACGTAGAATCCCGTGTGAACCAACCTAAACCCTAAATCCTAGATACTCCACGGTGATATTTAGTAACTCATTGAGGGATGAATTTAGGATATATAAATAAATAAATAAAAAAGGGTAAAAAACAATATTTTCATAAATATGATATTTTTCTAAAAAATAAAAAATAAAAAATTTATTTTTAAAGGAGACAATATCGTACTATTTTGTTTTTTTGGCTCGAGATGCCACCCATAGGTCGGGTTCATTTGAGATAGAAAAAGAAAAGAAATAAAATAATTCACATCACCAATCACCAAACACGTGCAAATGGCATGCTCATGATTTTCCCCGTAATATGCAAGACATGATGGAGGGTGTGCCATAAGGGATTAAATTAAATTATACTTTTTTTTTTTTTTTTTTTTTTTATCTCTCACCTACTCCACTCAATTACATAATTGTTAATAATAAAGGTTTGGGTTTAATTGGTTTATTTAAAAATAATATAATATTTTGCAATTTTTTCTCAGGGATATTTATGCTCCGAAACCAGACCTGAAACAACAAACAACATCATTAAGTTTGGTATCACCTCAACTTCCTTATTTTACACGAAACCACATCCTTAATTTAAGCATCTAACATACCTTTAACAAATTAAACAACAAAAATTAATTTTTTTTATAAAACACAAATACATTAATAAATCCCGACTACATATATTCAAAATAAGAGTAATCTTAAAAATAAAAAGGTTATTTATTTATATTTTAAAAGACACGTGTTAGTTTATGAAAATAGTCTAGTCGATAGCATATTTGAATAGAAGTGATCATAATGTTTTTTTTTTAACTAGTTAAATGAACAGAGATCATAATGATTACTTTTTTAATCACAATTATTACGTCATTTGACATTTAGTTTAGATGGAAGCACGGTCTTAATCATGTCCACCCGAGATATTCGGATTGAAACACCAAAATAAAATATATAATTTAATAAAATATTTTAAAATTAATTTTTTTTTATTACTATATTTGAGGATAGGTAAATGAATTGAATATAATGTTGAATGGGGTTATTTATTTTATAGATAATTAAAATACGAATCTCAATAAAGTTAGAATAATAAAGTATTAAAAAAAATAATTAGTGAATAAATTATTAACTTCTCGGGGTAGAATTTTTTAACAGAACCGAATAGGGTAATTAAAAAAAATTAGATGTTTACTAAAAAGAGAAAACACTTGAGAGGGAAGAAGAAAATAAAAAAGAGAGTAATAATTAATAATAAAGAGTTTGAAAGAAAAAAAGCCACCTGTAACAGTGCCGTAATTATCAGGTGAAACAGTAAAAATTAAATGATAATAAATAAATTACATCAGGTGAAATTAAAAATTACGAGCGCGTGCAAATTGTGTAAAGAAGGGAAGGAAAGGGTAAAACTGTAATTTTGAATCGATTATTAAATGGGGAGAAAGTATTGGTGTTTCCGACCGCCAAATCTTCACCACAGAGTCCGCCCATTATTTTAATTAAAGAAATTCAAAAGTCACCCACGCGGCTTGGCGA